CGCTTTAGTTGTAAGGCAATACAGTCTCTGTCATCTGGTGAAGTTTGGTGGCAGAAATCTTGGTCTGGGCTGGGGGTTCACTGGTTTAGGGGCAAGAGCTCTGTGAGCTCTTTCAATCTCTAAATCAGTCTCAGGGGGGAATTCAAATTGTTCTCTAATACATTTTTCAACGAACTTGGTTATTGACGCTCCTTCGCTCTCCTCCGGGCTTCCATAGATCCTCAGGTTCTGTCTCCTCGACCTGCTCCCCAAATCTGTTATTTTGGCCTCTAACTGCTTCTGTTTCCGGAGCAGGTCTAAAAGCACGCCATCTGTTTTTTCACCCCACGCTTTGGTATGCTCAATGCGTTCATCCATTTAGTTTACCCTCTTACTCATTCTGTTTATCTCTGTAAATTCCATCAAGGTTTTGTTAATATCCCTTCTGAAATCTCTCAGTTCGTAAAAAAAAAATTTCGAGGCTCACAGGGGATTCATGATCTTCACGAAGTTTATTGGACTGGCTCCTTTAGCCCCGCTGAGCAGGCAAAGTATTGCGTTCTCCCCGTTCCTTTTCAAAATCCTTTTTCAAGTAGTTTTGAGTGTTTTTACGTCCTTTTCCTCATTTTTCCATTGTCACCCAACACTTAGTGTTTGTTTTATATTATTTAAGACACAATTTTAACAAAGTTGTTGGGTTTTTTAAAAGATAACCAAGAGAGCGAAAAAATGAAGCAGCCATTGCTCACATGACTTCACTGGAAGCTGCCAGATGTACTTTAAAGGTCCTCAGCAATAAAACCATAACACCTTAAAGACCTATCTCCAGGAGAAAATATTAATTCCAAGTAGAACTGTGGCAGATTAAAAGGCTTGAGAGAAAATGGAGAAACAAGTCACTGAGAAGAGATGGTAGCAGCATGATGATTGGTATCTTACTAACCAAGGAGGCATTTCTCCAGATGCCTGGAGAAGCTGAGGGAACAATATGAAGGAATTACTTGGGTATAATCCTGACAGGAAGGAAGTCTGTCCTAAATCTGTCACTTCAGATATACTGTAAATCCCATTCATGAAATGAGGCTGGTGGCAAGGGTGCCTTCTAGATATGCTAAGTTATAAATAAGCCAAGAATCTGTAGGGGAGTGCAAGTCCTGTAGAGATGGTTGGTTTGAAATGTGCTACATAATCAGAAATGATTGTGCTGACAGGTTATCTCTGTGACTCAGATCCATCTCAGGTATAGTTGTAGCAAAGGTATAGCAAATTGGCTGTATGATCACTGGGAATTAGAACAGAGAAGGAAAGAGAATCTGAGGCATATGAGTTATATTATATTATTATATTATTACAAACTCCTGAATTTTGGTCCAAGCTAGGGTGGTCATGATTAGGGTTCTGTGAATAAAAAATAATTAATCTACCAATTATCTACCATGTCCTACATAGTTTAGTATTGTAAATGAAATGAGTGTAAATACAGTTATTGTCACATGATAATGATAGCATCAATAATCACATAATGTCACAATATCAATATTTCCATTCATATCAATAAGGTCTTTGAATGAGGTTTTCAGCGGCCTTTGAGATTTACCTGTATTTGAACATCTCTTGAGTTTATTATCTCCACAATGCCAACCACATTGTTAAATATCAGGCCAAGCTTCTGGCAATTGTCTGAAAAAATAGAAGAACAAGGTATAAGTCATGGATCAAGTAACAGTTTAATTCATTCTTTGACTGAAGGTTCCATTAAAGATAAATAATTCATAGAGCTTCTCTTTTGCCTGTGTAAGAAAAATTATTTTGATTAATTTATTGGAGATCTTAAAGATGACACAGTACTACATACTTCAAGAATATAAAAAAATTATAAAAAGTAAAAAAGAAAACAAATTTTACTGAACAGGTTGCTCACAAACTTACATAAGCCAAAATGTATGCAAATCAGAACATACTCTTAAACATTATGTTTGTAGTTTCAACTGTTATTATTACTGCTGAACTGTAATAACAGAGAATTACACCATTACAATATTAATAGTAAAATAAAAAGTAATATTTATTACTACAGTATACACTACAGTACTTTAATAATAAAACTACTCTTGTAACACGTATTACTCTTGTATCAATAATATAAAGTAATTCTATCACGCTTCTTCACTGCACTTTCACATCACTACTTTTCAGCCACACACAAGGCAATCTGGAAAAAGAATGAGATCACATTAAACTCTGAGTCAGCTTTACGTAAATCAGCCTTATATAAGTTGAGTGGTACTTTTATATAAAACTTACACATCAAGCAAAGAATTACATATCAAGAAATCGTAAATACATGTATTTTTACAATTATTATCTAGAACAGGGGTTCTTAACCTTTTTGAAAGTGCAACCCTTTTTTAGGGTTAAAAATATTTTGCAACCCCCCCCAACAGATTTAAAAATTGTCACTTTGTATAAATTGTAAGCCCACTCACTTAATGGGATGGTTGAGCATTGTGCATTGATGCACAGAGGTGTTCCAGACATGGCTTAGTAGGGCCGAGGATGTCACGAATCATCTTCTACCCTGAGATGGGCTCTGTATCTGTTTTGAAGGTAAGTATGTGTAGAAAATACAGACTCACATAAAATTGTCGATGCGAAGGGGATACGTTTTTTAAGTGCCAAAGTCTTCAGTCTTTGAAATTCAGTTTGTACTGAAGTCCAGAAGTAGGCCAGAGGCCTCTCCATGAACCTCTGCTTCAGGGCCATATCAGTGGTCAGATAATCAAGATGAGCCCGAATAAGCACACACAGGTCAGCCTTTAAAACAGTACTTTCATTCAAACACTCCTCTAGTGCAGAGAAAGTTCTCGTCGACCAGCCGAGTTTGCCACAAGCACAGATTTCTACAGTTTTGTTGGAGAAAAAGATGACGGATGCATATTTCCCTTGCAGTCCCGCATTCAACTCGTTAAGACGTTTACAAATCTCAGCCAAACAGGCCAGCAGGGCGAGTCATTATTTTCGGCAGACAATTTAGGGGCTAGCATGGGAGTTCTTCTCAAATAGAAATGTTCTCGGCCCCTCTGAGAGTTTGTAAAGTCGACTCAGTACGTTACCCATGGACAGCCATTGTACTTCACTGTGGTACAACAGCTGATGATATTCAGATACTCCCAACTCTTGACAGAGAATCGTGAAAAGTTCTGCACTTGTTGCACTGGCCTTGATAGAATTTACAGTATGAACAGTTTCATCCTTTACTTGTTTGAGTTCGTGACTAGCCCACTGTGTTTGCCAGTCATAGCTCATGCACCGACGGAGCAGATTCCCACACACTTGTTCTAGTCATATAAATTATTTCATGCTCACGTATATATGTGTCCAGCAAAACGAAAGTTGATCACCAGTGGCATGTGGGGAAAAGGAAGAAGGAAAAAGAAATTAATTTCTTCGGAGACATCAGTGGTCTCAATTGTAAAGAAAAATACAGACTAGATCTTAGTGATCACCTGGTCTTCCACATCTCTTGAAATACACCCAATGCAGTATCATTTGAGATTGGTATCAATGCTAAATATTTAAGAACTGTTCTAGGTTAATTTGAGAAAAATTCTGAGACAGACTCCTGAAACGGAAATGGGCAAAAATGCAAGCTTGCGGATTTCTAAAGCAGGTAAGCCCCACACTATTTTTGAAGAACCTTATTTACCATTGGCAAAAGAGCTGACACGTATTATGTGTGGAGAAAAAGCTGCTAAACAGCTCGACCTGCTTCCTCCTCTGAAAGACACAGTCACTTATAGAATTATTGAAATGGTGGATGATATCAAAAGTACACTGATAGAGCACAGTAAGATGAGCAGATGCTATTCACTGCAATTAGATGCGTCTGTAGTCGATTTGGCCAGTTTGCTGATTTACGTTAGATACGAGTTTCAGGGTACGTCCCATGAGGACTTTCTGTTCTGTAAGCTGCTACCAAAAGGAACTACAGGAGAGCACATATTTCAGCTTCTGAATGAATTTATCGAAGAGAATGGCATCGACTGGATAAAATGAGTCCGAGTTTGTACAGACTGTGCTAGAGCAATGACAAGCCGACACAGCGGTGTAGTGGCACAAATTAGAGAGGTTGCTCCAGAAATGAATAGACGCAATGCAACATCCACCGCGAGACCTTTGCCGTCAAGAAAATGCCTGACGATTTAAAATCTGTTAGACTCTGTTGTGAATTGTATCAAGGCTCGAAAAATGAATTCACATCTGCTTTGCTCGACTAAACAGGCAAACCCCTCTCAATGAAATGGTGAAGATGACTTGTACT